ATGGGAAGAGATCACCATGGATTTTATCACACAACTACCAAGGACGGCACGTGGAGTTGATTCCATTTGGGTCATTTTTGATAGATTGACCAAGAGTGCACACTTCATACCTATTGCCGAGAGTATATCTGCTGAGAAGTTGGTTGACATTTACATTCAGGAGGTGGTGGTTCGGCACGGGGTGCCAGTTTCAGTGGTTTCATACCAAGATGTTTTTTTCACCTCCAGGTATTGGAGGAAGTTTCATGAGGAGTTGGGTACTCAACTGCATTTCAGTACGACATACCACCACCAGACTGATGGATAGAGTGAGCATACGATTCAGATGCTCGAAGATATGCTTCGGGTGTGCATGTTAGATTTGGAGAGAGTTGGGATACTTACCTTCCATTGGCCAAGTTCTCGTACAACAACAATTATCATGCCAGTATTGATCAACCACCCTCAAGATGTTGTATGGGAGAAGGTGTGGGACCCCGGTTTGTTGGGGCGAGGTCGGGCATTGGGTCATGGGGAGTACTGAAGTGGTGCTCAAGACCACTGAGTTGATACAACAAGTGTGTGATAGGTTGCGGGTCACACAAATCCGGCAAAAGAGTTATGCAGATCGTCGTCGTTCAGACCTCGAGTTTCAGGTGGGGGACTTTGTGCTTCTGAAGGTGTCACCTTGGAAGGGTGTCATCCGATTTCGGAAGCGGGGCAAGCTGGGCCCCCGATTTATTGGTCCAATTAGGATTACCGCCTGGGTGGGAAAGGTTGCATAACGACTGGATTTGCCTGATGGACTCAGTCAGATTCACAACACCTTCCATGTCTCTCAGTTATGGAAGTGTGTAGCTGATGATTCTGTGTTGATTCCCTTGGATGATATTCAGGTCGATGAGCATCTGAACTATGTGGAGAGGCCGATTGTGATACTCGACAGGAAGACCAAAACTATGCGCAACAAAGTGGTGAAACTGGTGAAGGTGCAATAGCAGCACCGAAGGGGTTCTGAGCGGACGTAGGAGCCAGAGGATGACATAAGAGAGCATTACCCTGAGTTATTTACGGATGCAGATTTCGAGTATGAAGTATGATTCTAGTGGGGGAGAGTTGTAACATCTGAATCCAGAGGTACTTTACATTTTGCAAATTTTGCCTTTTATTGGATCGCCACAACGTGGTGGTGAGACACCACAACGTGGCAAGTCAAGTTCAACCTGCGTGTTCATTTAAGCCACCACAACATGGTGGTATATGTCACGGCGTGGCAGCTTGCAAATGATAAATCCTATTTTTCGGGTTTTGCTCCCTATTTAATGGAATGAGGAGGCTAGGGTTTGCTCACCCTCATCCTCCATCAGACCTGTGAAACCCTAATCTCTCTCTCTCTCTCTCTCCCTTATTTTGTTCCTCTGTAGTGTTCTTGAAGCCTTGGAAGGAAGAAGGAAGAAGAAGTAAGCTTGGATTCAACAAGCTATCCCTCACCCTTTGTGTTAACAATCTTTTGGACCCTTGTAAGTGTCCAAGACTTGTTTTTTGTCAAAGTAGATTGCTAGATCTTATGTTTTTGTCCCTTAATCTTCATGTTTTATGAGTTTGAAATGATGTGATCTCATAAAGCTTGCAACTTTATGAATCTATGGGACTTTGGGTATGATTTTTGATTTGGATTTGATTTCTTGATGGGTTTTGAGCCATGCATGAGTTTTCCATAGAAAAACCCTCTTTTTAGCTCAATATGGCTTCAATACATGCATTGGGCATGCGTGTCTAAAAAGCACCAACTTTTATGTTGGATTAGGTATTAGAATCTATTATGGAGTAAATGAACTATGAACCCTTTGGAATAAGTGCTTAATGGGGAGAGTCATGTCATTTCTAGCTCCTTTGAATCTAGGGTTTGGGATTTTGACCTTGTGGATGGTCTTATCGGGTAAAGTTGGAATCTTTATCCTTCTAGACATTGTTTCATACCAGCTCTGGAATTTGGAGCCTTTGGGATCGAAGAAAACAGCTTAATCTATTAAGTTGCTGAAAACCCAGTGGACACGGCGTTGAAATGGGGAAATTCGCAACTAGTTGTTACGGGCGGGACCACGGCGTGGTGATAGGTGGCCACGACGTGGCGGTTAACCAAAGTCAACGTTGAACGTTGACTTTGACCATTGTCATTTGACTTGAGCTGACTTTTGGTCAAGCACCTATTTTGGAGGAAGAGCTTAAGGTTTATTTGGTTGGACTGATTAGGTGGTGCGTAGCAGCCATACTCTAACAGTGAGAGCAATAGTCGTAGAATATTTTCTGTGAGGTTAGTTTCCTCACTGTGCTTGTGGGTCGAAGGCACCAATGTCGGCCCACCAATTTGTTTATATAGAATGCTAGCTGATGTATGACTCTTACATGTTTGCATGATTGGGTTGAAATAGACCCTAGGGCTGGCCCATATTTGTATGATTGGGTTGAAATAGACCCTAGGGTTGGGCCCATGAGTATATGATGGGTTGGAAGGAACCCCTAGGGCTAGGCCCATACTTGTGTATTGGGTTGGAATACACCCCAGGGCTAGGCCCAGTTGTATGTTTGGTATGTGGTACTTTGGGGAATTCACTAAGCCTTGTGCTTACAGTTTATGTTTATGGTTTCAGGTACTTCCGGTACGAAAGGGGAGGGCCCGGCGTGATGGCACAGCATCCTCTCCTCATGATGTCCGCACTTTTTGGATATGTGTACTCTGATATTTTGAGATTGTATTTGGTGATTGACTTGGAGATATTTTGTGAATGGAACTATTGGTTTTAAAATGAAAAATTTTATTATTGTTTTTGGGATGTTACAAACAATTACTACAACTTTCATTTAGATCACTTAGGAAAAAAAGTAATTTATCAAAAATTTACTTTTTACGATACGCAGAGTCATGCCGGTTTAATTGCGAAACTTCGAAAAAGCATAAATTCTTCATATGAAGTCGAATTTGAACGCTTCTTATTTCTCTGGAATCCTTATAATGTATACTACAACTAGATTAAGATTATTTGTCCTAAGTACTCTTTTATCTTCGATGCGTATTTTAATCTTACTTATTTTATTATTAAATACTTATATAATTTACACATAATATCCTATAGAACACGTAAGCATATAAATATATGAACAATTCTTTCTTATTCATTCATATAAAGTTTACAATAGTTGACCAAAGTGATTACAGATTGTGACTAATCTAACAGGAAACGCGGACGTTATAGAACGGAGAGTAGAACTATGTTCGATGACATTAATGATTTGGTGGGGTACGTATTACGTATATGAGTACTATATTAGTATTCTCCCTCCTTTATAGACAGCCAAAAATAGTATGTATGTATCAGGCAGCCGCAAGGTGCGTAGATGACCAGTCATATGTCTGAGTAGGATGACGACCACTGACTAAACCCAGTCTTGTGGAAACGCTATCAAACTTACAGTTTGTAAGTGTTAATGAGTTATACTGATCCAGATGAATAGGATTGTATGTTCATTCGTTGTACTATATCCCCCCCATAGTCGCCTTATTGGTTAACGTCTACTGCAAAGGAGTCCCCGAAGCAGTATAGTCAAATCGTTGCTTACATTGATCCATCAGGATAGATCTTATAAGATCACTGTTATAGGATTAATATGTGAGGATCGACGGAATGGGTAACTAAGGGTACAATGTCTTATAGATAATTATATTGTGTTGTTAGATAACATTTGGTTTTGTATGGTTATTGATTATAGGTTATTATCGTTATAACATTGTAGGATTGAAAACCATGTGCATCTCACCAGGTTCCCAACCTGACTCACTCAATCTATATGCATCACAGGTAGCGGTATTTAGGCTGTTGGATCTTGAATAGGATGTCGAGTGATTTAAAGAGACAAGTTTGCTATAGAGTTCATGGTCGTTAGGTCTTTACCGTGTAATTTATGTATTGTATTGATTATGACATCCTTAGGGTTTTGTCATTTGTGTTTTTGAAACATCTTTACTCAAGATGTTTTAATAAAACAATACAGTTTCCGCAAAACGTTTTATTATATTGAAATTTTCCGCAAACAAATATATTATGATTTTTAAAGCGTAAAGAAAAAAAATGGTTGTGAAAAAAAAGGGGATGTCACATTAACTTCTTATGGTTGTTATTATTTTTAGTGGTTAATTATTGTTTTTATAATTGTTATTTTATGCAACCAAGTTTTTCATACATTTTATAAAGTTGTCTTAGAAAAACATAATGTTTGTTATTATATTTGATATGTTGTTGTATATAAACAAGTTATTATAAACCTTTATGTTATTGGTTGGTATTTATTTATTCATAAGATGTAATAGATAAATATTTAATTTTTTCATTTATTTATTTGTTGTAATTAATTAGATGCACTAACTTGTATTTTTTTTTTCAAGTATAACAAGTTGAAACATTCAAAGCTCCCGCTGTGTATGTTGCAATTCAAGCAGTTCTTTCACTATACGTCATTAGTCCTACAACTGGTAAGTCCCTCGTTTGTTTATCACTTCATAACCGGATCCAAACTCATGATCCGTTTGGCTTCTTCTTTTAGGTCTTGTTATTGATTCGGGAGATAGTGTAACTCACATTGTTCCAATCTATTAAGGTTATGCTCTTATTGCTTTAGGATCTTATTTGTCGTGATTTGACTAATGCATTGGTGAAGACTTACTAAAAGAGGTTTATTCGTTTATTACAATTTATGTAACCTTAACATTATGTATTAATTTCCCAATAATAATTATTCTATAAAACTCATGACACCATAAAACAAAATCAAAATCAAAGTTGTATTTCTGATTTCCTTCCCCCAATTCACCAAATCTATACATTCAAAACAAAAACCTCAAACTAAAACACCAAATCTTCAGCTTTTTGACTCCATAATCTTCTCAGGCAACATTGGGAAACAAAACAAATAAATATATATATGTCATTAATCTGAAACTAATCTTTATTTATTTCTTACAATAATCTCCATATCGATCGACGATAAGAAACTGTACCCTACGAATGCGCCATGAAATAATCCAAAATCGTCTTTCGTTTCAAAGAAGGCGGAGGATTCAAAACAGAAGACGGACTTCCAAAACTTGGATCCGGTGATTTCTCGCATGTTTCATTGATATACAAATTCAAATTCAAGTTCAAATTCGAATCCGAATTCGAATTCGAACTCAAATTCAGATTCGAGCAATGCTTTTTGATGGATTTGGGAGTTCTGATTTCCGCCATTGATGTTTCTAGTGGTGGATCGAGTAAAGGTTGAGGTGCGATTACAGATCCTTTTGCTTCTTCTTCTTCGAAAAGTTTTCGGCGTTTCATTTTCGGAATTGTGAATTCTCGTTTTCGGATTGATGAGGGAGATCGGGTATTTGAATAGCAGCTGTTGTTGATGTTCCATAGTCGGACCTGAAATGTAATTCATGAGATTTAAGAACCCTAAAATGTTTGAAGGAAGATTCTGTGATTTTTGTTCATTACAGATCATTACAAACTCTTTTCAAGATTGATTTTTGCTATATAAAATCTACACCATATCTAAGCAATTTTCATTTGCTAAAACTAGATAATGATTAAAATAAAATGTTTGTGATAAAAAAATTGAAAATGAAACGATATAATTAAGGTAGATTTAGCATTTTGTCAATTAGAAATGATTGTAAATTACAAAACTCCAAAACTTTGTTACCAGATGTTTTATAGCAATGTGAGTTTATATATTTGTTTATTATAGCATACTACTTTCATTTCATTCTATTACAACATTTTGTTCATTTTGAAAAACCTATCCAATTTTTAAAAAAAAAAGGATATAATTAGGTGGATTTTTCAATAAAATAAAAAAATTATTCAATTAATAAGAAAAGAAATGAATATAATGTTATAATAGAAACAACCGAAAATACATTGTTTATCCCTTCTAAATATGGGTTCTATACAGAAATTTTTCATTATTTTAGGGGGAAAAAAATTATGAAGTCCTAAATTATTATTTTTTTGAACAAAAAATCTTGTGTCCAATTTAACGTAAAAATCATTATTTTTATTTTAATAAAAAAAATGTCAGATTATTGTGTAAAATTAAAAAATCGAGAAATTTCTGTTAAAAAAAATTTAGGATTTTATCAAAAAAATTCCCAAAATAATGAGACTTTTCTAAATAAAAGTCTTTAAATATTTAACTAATAATCAAATAAATGATTATGAGGTTAGAAAACAAAAGCATAAAAAGTAAAATATAATTGTTGATATTTATGAGAGGAAAAAATTGCATTTTAATTCAAATTTAAAATTGTATTGATTGGCAACTAGTAAAACTTACCACAGAATCATCAGCAGAAGTTGCTATTTTACCTATCTCAGATGAGCACCTACAAATGAATAAAAAATTTATATATTTAAAAAATTGTAAATTTTTTTTGGTAAATATAATTTAAACATTTACATACCAATCTACTGCAGTTACTTCTCCATTATGGCCTTTAAGCATAACAGGATCTGCTGTATGATTATTGATCTGCCATACATATGCATTTCCATCACTAGATCCACTAAGGATATGCCCTGCATCTGGACTCAATTTTGACTGCATATTTTCACATTTAAAAACCATTAATTATTCCATTATTTAAATTTAAAAAAATTAATATTGGAAAATAAAAGTTTACCTTAACAAAAAATGTACTGATGTCACACCCTTTGAAGCTCTTAATAGGCCCCTTCTCTAGTCTAAGTACATTCAAGAGATATATCCTGTTGAAACCCATGAAAAATATTTAAGGTTAATTTCATTAAAGACCTTATATTTTGTGTTTTTCTAAAAAAAACCCTCAACTTCGTTTTTTCCTGAAAATAACCCTCAACCTTAGACTATTTCCAAATAAATCCTTGATTTTTTTAGTTTTTATAAAAAGAAATCTCACATTTTTTTCGGAAAAATGACTAGAAGGGTAAGATTGGAAAAAATGAAAGATCTTTTTCAAGAATTGAATAAAGATGAGGTTTAATCCCGAAAAACACAAAAGATTAACCCAAATATTTATACTGAAACTAAAAAAAAAAGGAATGAAATTATTTGAAAGGGTAAAGGGTAAAATGGTCAAAAGATTTTAAAAGAGTACCTGCTGTCCATGCATGAAGCTGAAATATACACTCCATTTAAATCTTGGGAGAGGCTAGATATGCCATATGATCTTACCTGAAAGAAAATTAAATATATCATGTAATTGTTATTATTTAATTAATCACTTTTAATCTTGTGTACTAAGAATTAATAGAGGTTAATGGAAGATATAATAATGTACTTTGACTAATTCATTTTTTTAGCATCCTATTTTTATTTTTTTCCTACAAGGAAATGAAAATTCTCCATATATTGTTATTATCCAGATACAGATAAACAAAAATACATTGCTATTTCTTGTAACCCAAAACTTTTTTTTCTAAAAAAATGAAAAATCTATTCATTTTTATAATAAATTAACAAACTTTTCAACATAAACACATACCCATTTCTGTTTTGTTCTATCATGAACACTGGTCTGAGTAAGTGGAGTTGTAAGGTTCCTTGTATCCCAAAACTTTATAGCACTACAAAAAAGTAACATTTCATTGATTAAAAAATAACCAAAATTTAAATCATCATTCACCAATATGCAACTAAAATTCTAAATAATTTACAGTAAAATCTTGCATACCTATCTGCAGCTCCAGCAGTAGCAATAGTGACCTCATCTTTCAGATATAAAACTGAAGTTATGCTTATAGCAGCAGCCTATAGTAAACAAAAACTTATTTTAGAATTTGAAATTGAGAGTATATGTGAATGTCAATGGGATTAAAAATTAAAAATTAAAAATTAAAAATGTCTTGAAAGTTGAAACTAACCTTTCCATGTCTACCCCTGGTTTTAAGATTTGGACTATGTGCCCCTTTAACAATGTCTATTGGCCTAAAAAGATATGATAAGAGTATTCAGTATTGTTAAATAGTCAAATCATTATGTAAACAGTCTGATACATGTCAAACACATGTCAAACACAGTACAAAACAGTCTGTCAGTGGAGAACTTACGAAGTGGAGAAGTGGGACCGCCTACGTTTAGAGTTTCTTAAGTCCCATAAAGCAAAGGAACCATCTCTTGAACCAGATACAATGATATCTGGACATAATTTAATGTTTTAGGTTAGAAAAATTGGTATATTTTTTGGAGGAAACACACGTGAGAAGATGATCATAACTCATATCTCATATCTCATAAGCATACCTTCATTAACAGGGTGAGCACTGATTGATTTTACACTTCCAGTGTGTCCAATCAGTCCTCCAATGCATTTTTGTTCTTGAGTATCCCATAGCTTTATCTGTGTAAATGCCACAACAAAATCAGCAAGTTTGGTAGAATGTGATGTAAATTATAATGTAGAACATTTGGTAATAGTTGCTTACACTATGATCACCACAAGCTGTTAATAAATTGGTGTCCTCCTGCAAAGATTTAATCCAGAGACACAAAATTACAATTTTGCTGCTGTGTTACTAAATTAAAATGATCTGAAAGGAGTGACTATGTGAATGATTATAGTTTTTTGTACCTTTATCCAACATACATCAAAGATAGCATTATCGTGAGCAAGCCACTCAGATACCCTAGCTTTATCTGCCAAAAATCAACGTTTTTAAACTACATTGTAGCATAAGAGATGAAAATTATGGAATATATTTGGTAAATTGATATTCACCTGCGTTTGCTTCGTGTGTTGCTGAAGAAGGGAGTTTCAAGCGAGTGTTGTATAAGCTAACGTATCCATCTTCACCGGTAACAGCAACAATATGAGCGTTTCTGCTTGTCTGTGAATTTTGTTTCCATAAATTTTGGTTAATTAGATTCGTCAATAGCAATGAGAAACTTATTTCGGAAAACTAGGGTTGCACGATCGATTCCTCTACAAAATCTAATATACAGCTAGGCAAATCAAAGTCATATCATACTGTGAGTGAAATTAAACCTTGCAAAATGATAAAGCCATTGGAGGAGTAGCACAGTCGTCATGTACAAATTCAAAAGCTCCGATTTCACTAAATTGGGAGGAATCGTCAGCGAAACGCGGTCGTTTTCGTACTGTAGACAACACAATCAATATAGTTAATTACTTCGTAATAGTTACGATAAATCTAGATCTGTAAACGAATAACTCAGTTGCAAAATGTTAGATGAATTTTGAGATGAATGCAGTAGGAATGAAAAAAGTTGAAACCAGATTAGCTACCTCTGAAGCCATTGAGCTCTCTGGAGCTGATGTCTTTGAAGATCGATCGATATGTAGAGCTCTCCATTTGCAAACGCCTGTATTTTTGTTCGAAAATGGAATGAAGAATTGAGAGATTTAGAAGTATTTAGTTGAAATTTTAGGTTTTCGCGGGTGGTGGAAGGAGGAAGTCCGACAGCGGGAAAAGTTTTGAAATTCTTTTGGGTTCCCGGCGTTGAACCTGGCGGTATTTTTTTCGTTTTCAAATTAGCATAAGATTGACAAAAGTACATAAATAGTCCCTTTAGTTTCATAGATTGTTGTTTATTGTCTCTAACTATTTTAGTTAGTCTCTTAGTACAATGAAAAGAATATTATACTCTTTTAAATATCTTTTTATTTTATTTTTTATATTTGATTTATATAAATATTAAATAAATAAGACCCACCATACCCCTACTACATACATATACTTATACACACCTTTATATTTTACATTTAAATTTTACATAATTACCGAAATCCATACTACTGGGTGTTTGGCAAAAGAACTTATTGCTTAATAGCTTATAAGTTAATAAGTAAGTGTAGGGTAACTTATGAAAAAATGATTTATTAGAGGTTCCCTACTAGAATAAGTTATTTTCATTCGAACACTTTTTTAACTTATAGTTGTGGGGAAACTAATAAGTTGTTTTAAAAAGCTTAGTCAAACACCCCCTACAACCTCAATTGGTATATGATTTCACAAGATTTGTTGTTTGGCATTCAAACGATGTTATTATGTAAAGTCATTCATATGCTTTCATGAATTTTGATTGTAACAACTGTGAAATAATAACCCTGAACTTTTCCCTAATTTTTCACAAAATCTGCAAAACCGGGTGTGAAGCCCAGCTTATGTGTCGTTGGACAGGATATTAGCCCCAATCGATGGTGAAGGCGAAGAACCTACCATGGTGAAAGCGAAGATCTACAAAAGTTTGTATTTGTTTTATTTTATGGTATACAGCAAGAAGTGTCATATCATCCCCACCGCATGGTACAATAGGTGTACAACAAAGCTCACAACTTTATATGATATGTCATTGGTACATTACCAACCAAAAAAATCTATATGGAAGCTTTTTCATACGTAAAAAAACAATATAGTTATATAATTATATTATTATTATTATTTTGTTATAAATCGTTAATTATAATTGATTAAATATATATCCGGCCTTGATAATAGTTGAAAAATTAATTAACAAGCTTGGTTAAAAAAGTTTTTGGTAAAAACACTTCCACGGAAAAAAAAAATCATAGATTCTTAAAAAGAAATTGAAAAAGCTAATATTATTAATTTCACATGTTTAAACAAACTTTGCAAATACTTTGTACAATAAGTAATTGTTTTGTAAGAGATGCTACAAAAATGATGGTTTATGATACAACTATCTCAGATTTTGATATGGTTGTAATTATCATATCTAATATCGGATTGAACTTATTTTATATAAATATTTATTTAGTCAACTTATCCATGTTTTAAATTTTAAACATGGAGAATCTTAATATTTTTTAAACCAAACACTGATACTCATGTAAGAATATTGATTACATAACGATATACTCATTTTTTTATGAATTTTATGTGAATAAAGATAAAATAAAAAAGTGCAAATTGTTGAAATTTGAAAATATATTCCAAGTTTCTAACACATTTAAAAAAAAAATCATAAAATTGTTTAATTTGACATTAACTTGTAAAAATCATCATTTAATAATTAAAGTACATAAAATATGTTATAAATAAGACCTTTGGTAATATATGACTGTTTTGCATCAATACAGAGAAAATCGGTAATTATGGTTTGACATTTCTTTTTACAAACATCAAACACTGCAATTATGTGCTATATAGCACAAGTAAAGTTGCATTTTTAAGTGGATGTGGATGAATTTCCAAAAGTAACACTTACATCTTTTGTCAACGGTTCAAAGCATATATAATTGTGAATCACTCATTGTCAATAGATCGGGGCTTAAGTGTGTTTTTTTAGTGATGTGTGTGTATTTATGGATCGGTTGTTCGATCTGATTTTTTTTTAGTGTCTAAAATCAAGCAAAATATATTCCAAGAAAAAAAAGTCAAGTAATCAAAAAGATATACGCAAGGGAGTGAGGGACAATAAAATCACTACGATTGATAAGGAACTATATAAATTTATGTCTATTTGTTTAAAAACAACAATCGATCCTCTATTAGTGCTCATAAAAGGACTATGATTGAGAATCTATTGAACCATACATTTTGAATAAGCAAGGGCTAATAAAGCTCATGGTTTATACGAATCGCAAACATTAATAAATGTAGATCAAACACATATCAACAATCAACTTCTCTTTCGGTATATGAAATCATGAACAAAAACGGATACCATACTTGTCGCTGTCGCTATCAGGTTCGAAAATGTAAGAAAGTGCGGCGGATACTCCAAGAATAGAGGTCGTAAAATGTGAAATGATTGGCCTCTAGGGATTTTTTGGTTTTATATCATTAGCGTCGGAGGGTACATTGGTAAATTTGAAAGTATTAAGATACATTTATTACTTACATGTTTGACCCCTTTTTCCCGGTTTACCGATTTTATTACTTACATGTTTCACTAAAGTCTCATTATTTTACCCTAATTTGCGAATAAGTCCCAACATAAAATTTACTGATGATTTGGCCATTTTCTCTATGTAACATACATTTTACAGGTTTCATTGCTGACCCGGACGCCTAGTCATTAAATGAGATGATGAGATGGATATGTTGACTTATATAATGCTATGTTTAGCATAAAACTTGATATCCTGATGTATTGTATATCTTTTTAGAACATAAAATGCATCCAACGAAGACTACAATAATTACATAAACTAACAACAACTACGTTATTTATTACGTTTATAAGAAATATTAAATTGTCTATCTAATCTTATGTAACCCAATATATTCATCTCATCAGACATCAACTCATTTTCTGCCCTTTTTTCTTGGAAACACACATTTTATTGGTTTCATTGCTGACGTAGATACATAGTCACAAATGAGCCGATAAGATGGGTATCAAAATTTACAGTAAATGTGACATTATATAACCCATCGTATTCATCTTATCAACTAATTTAATGACTAGGTGTCTAAGTCAGCAATGAAACCGATAAAATGTATGTTACATTAAGAAAATGGCCAAATCATCAGTAAATTTTATTTTGGGACTTATTCGCAAATTAGGGTAAAATAATGGGACTTTAGTCAAACATGTAAGTAATAAAACCGGTAAACCGGAAAAAAGTGGTCAAATCACCATTTTTACCGGTAATTCATGCTTTTTCGTAAACAAATTTTAGTTTGAGAGTTTTTCGTAAATTAGGGTAAAATTTTAGGACTATTCTGAAGATTTCCCTAAAAAAATAAAAATACTAGCCGTTAACCATTTCAAAACCTTTTTGTTCTTTGTAATATCCGCCTCACTCTCTTACCTTCTTGATTGCAACAATTATGGTAACCCTTTTGTTCATGATTTAATTTACCATATGTTGACCAATTTGTTTCTTTAGAAATCAAATAGTCTTCTATATTTTTTTCATACCTATCATTCTACTAAATAGAACGAAACAAATACCAAAATCAAGAGAGAAGATCAAGACAGATAATTAATGGTGCCACATGTCATGATCTTATATGAATAGAATGATAAATACTAAGGAAATATCAGGGCTATACAATTTTTCTTTATTTGTATAAAACAAGTGAACCATAGCTTACTTGTAACCTAATGAATTGATGTAAATGTATTATAAGTAATAATATACTAAACAAAACAATTAATGTGGGTTCATGATGATCAACTTGGGATGTATGATCATTGCTCATTGTGGTGTTCAGATTTTTCAAACATTTTCTGTTAGGGTGTGTGTTGGGCATAATCGGTTGTCGTTGACGTGATATTGTCACACCCCAAAACCGGAACGGCGGAAACGATCCGGGGTGGAGGACATCATGCGTAGTATCACAACAGTTGTATCATAGTAAGCGAAGTAAACACAACCATTACATTATAATAAGAATATTTACATTGTTTGAAAGCATGGTTTATACATAACAATATATAACAAAAGTAAAAGACGTGACTCCAAAATGCTCCGTCTTCTCCAACAGTTGGCAAGAGTACCTGTCTATTGTTGCCCTGAGAATACAAACAGATTTAAAATATCAACATAAAGCTGGTGAGTTCATAAGCGTTTAGTTCTGGTGAAAGAAATGTTTCTTTGATCCTTTAAAAAGTGTTTCCCAAGAAAATCCTGTATTTTCTTATGAAAGATGTTTGATTATCCATTCGTTACTTGTTTAACAGCCTGTTTATGTAAGGTTGAGTTATCCCAGGAAAATCCTATATTTTCCTTAAAAGTTGATAGTTGGTTAACTCTTCTGGAATGAGGTGTACAACTATCTACCATACTTGTATCGTTAGATGTAATTTCCTTGAAAAAACTTGTTTGCTCTCTGTGAGGTGTATTAGCCTTATTACATAAATAAAACTAATAAAATAGGTAGTGAACTAGATCCTAAGGGTATTACTAATGCCCTCTAGTAATGAAATCGGTTATTACTTTGAGGTTAGTTCACTTGTTTCATTATTACAAAAGTAAATTTTCGCTATCTAGGTTGTGAGTGTTATAACCGTACTTAGACTGGATATGGCACGTAACGGGGGCCAGTATCTTTTTATGACTTTGTCACCCCTGAACCTAACGGTCCCGCTGTAGCTGGCAGCGAAGGTGCGTGATAGTCAGTCTCATATAGATCTATACACAATAGTCACGATCTCCCTCCAATAGATTCTGGTTACAAGGGTTAGTCCTACACTCTCGAATCCGGTGGGAGTGTTACCAAGGACGTGTCTCAAAACTTAGCCTAACAAATTTACAAGTAATAATACTGAAAATCCTGTTTATGTTTTATATGAATCCTTTGCAAAATATCGCATTTTATGACAAGATTCACAAGTTCCTTGCTTTAGTTTTGAAAACTGTTTCTACGAGTTGATTTCTTAATCGTTTGGTAAAACTGTTTTCTGTGTTAAAAGCATACTGAACATATAAGTATTTTATACGAAATAATATACTTTGAGTACAAGTTTCCTTGTACTTTTGCTTGTATTCTCCCCCTGAAAACATGAAAAACTCGGAAAAGGTGTAGGGGTAAGAACTCACCGTTTGACGTAGGATCTGGGTGTATGATTGGTTACGAATGTTGAGTGTCAACCAATGTTTCGTATGCAAGTGGATCCTATTAACATGTGATAACATATATGTGTGTTAGAATTAGGGTGTTTCATGACTAAACACAACGGGAAACCACCCTAAAGACTTGGAAATGCTTGTCGGGACCTTATATGATCAAACAAGGGAGGTGTACGGCCAAAAGAGTGTGTGTGCGGCCAGGGTGTGCGGTCAGCATGTGTGTGTGGTTGCACACAGGAGTGTGCGGCCGTACAGAGGGCGTGTGCGGTCGTACATGGGAGTGTGCAGCCGTACATAGGAGTGTGCGGCCGTACACTCTTCATTCATGCACAAAATGTCGATTTTCGGGTGTTTCAAAGCCAATACCAAGTCCAACTAGCAAATGAAGGCCAAACTCTTCACCTTGGAGAGTCTTTGAGGTGTGTACGGCCACCTTATGAAGGTGTGCGGCCGTACACCTTCAAGTGACAAAGAACACGAAGAACATGATGAGTTTTAAGCTTAGATCAAGGTGTCTTACCACTATAACAAGCTGAATGATGGAGTAATTCACGTTCTTGAGGCCTTTAGAGTGTTCTTGGATGAAGTTTTTAGAGAGAGAAAGTAGAGTGCAGCCAAATGAAAGGAATGAATGAAGAGGGTCACCTTATATATATAAGGGTGAGTGTGCGGCTGGAGGGTGGGTGTGCGGCCGCACACCCAGGTGTACCGCCGTACACTCCTCCCGAGAGGGTGTATGGCCCGGTTTTGTCTCTATACGACTTGTTGACTCATTTCTAATCTCATTCCCGGATGTACTCAAGCTTAGAACACTTAAACTAACTCTTAAACGGCGTTAAAAGGTAACGGAATCAAGTTCAATGTTGATAAAGTTGACCAAGCGTACAGAGTAAAAGTTTCGGGTTGTCACAGATATGAACCTAATAGATCGCACAACAAGGACAAATAGACAATAATAGATTGAAACAATGATATCAAACTATGAGACTTGTAGGTTTGAAAAGTGGCAACGGGAAATGACTAGATTGCATGCGAACTTCGTTAAAATGTGTCGTGCTCTCGTGTGGATTGTGCATAAGCTCGAACCTAGTAAACCCTGATTTCGAGAACTATAAGATCAACTTCGACCCTGACCACAAAATGTATATATTTTTGCAAAAATAGTATACTAAATATATTTTTTCTACTACGATCGTACACTAAAAACTCACAATAGAATATAGTTTAATATTATATAATAATAAAGTCACATTTATTCATTATGGTACTTTGTTATAACTTAATAATTATAATGAATAGATTATTAATAATTATAACTAACCATTTTGTTATTTTACAAACTAATTTATGTTTCCAATAAATTTAAAATTTAAATTGACGATACTTTTATTGGTAAAGAAACATTACTTAATTGTTTTAACTATTTGCTATTGAATTTGTTTTGGTGGTCAAAAAATAAAATTCTAACCGGCTATAATAGGTTTAATCGGTTTCCATCGACTTTAACATCTTCGATGACTCTCCAGCAAAATGAGTTTTCTGCCGAATTATTGGCACATTATGAACACACACATATACCTATTAACCGAGAAAAACCCACAAAATATTCTTCTACTGAAACCCATAAAAACTCAAAAGCTTTTCTTCATCTCCAAGAACCAAAAAACCCAGAAAAAAGAAATCATAATATATGGAAGCTAGATTCTTATATGGGTTTTCATTTAGAAGAACATGAAGATTTTCTTCATCTTCAAAAACATAAAGTTCGATTTTGAAGAAAAACAAAGATTTTTTTACCCAAGAACATGATATGGAAGTGTTTGTTTGGTTGGTATTTACCGAAAAATTTATGTTTGTCAGAGACTCATCGAAAAAGTTAGTGGAAACTGACTAAATGAGATCATAAAAAACAAGTTAAATGATAAATGGTGTATAATAGTCGTTACTAATGCTATTTTTTTTAAAACAAAATTTGAATGGTAAATAATTTTAAATTAAAATAAAACAAATAACTAAACGTCAACATCATTATCCCTTATATTATCACCCCTTATATATATTTCCACTACAAACAAAACACCAACGTAACACTTCTTTAAAGAATTGTACCTCTTGTCTCTAAACTTATAACGTTCTATGGGCCAAATTCTACACGTTTTTTGTTTACTGGGCCAGCCCAAAAAATCTATTCCGAAAGGACAATTAACTTATCTGAATCCCACTGACCACCGGGCCCACTTAGACGACATTGCTGACCAAACAATAAAAGCCTCCGTCGGCGAGCGACTTCACCAGTCACCACCGTCCTTTAAACACCAATCGCAGCCGTGCATAGGAAACCCCAAAGCCAAAACACTCAGATTGCGCGGGAGAGAGAGCCGTTGCTAAATCTTGGCGCCAAATTATTAAACGATTTTGTTGCTTACCCTGCCCGACATTTTACGGGCAGGAAGCATCCTATGCAAATCGTTTTAGGGTCTCATTAATATATAAAAACTCACTTTCTTTCTCTTTTTATTTCTCCCTTTATCTTTTACCGCCTCCATTCAAAGCTTCCAAAAAACCTCTCCTTCCTCTCTACTACTCAATCAAGCATATATTCTTCTTATATTCCTAGCTTGTTCTTCAATCTTGGTTTCACAAAAGGTCGATTCTTGTTCTTGGTTTGGTTGAAAAGCGATCTTTTTTCGGGTTTTTGATATGGGTTTTTCGAAAAAGCATCAAGTAGATGGGGAATCTTTGGAAGGGAAGAAATGGGTGATTGCAGGAATCACCATGAGAGCTCCATTGAAGTCTTTATCTATAAAAAAGGCGAAAGAAGAAGATGATGATGATAACACAATCTCCGGCAACACAACTCCAACGTCCAAGGACTCAAGGATACCGGAGGCTTTACCATGCCCGCCGCCGCCGAGGAAACGCCGGCCGGTGTCGACTTGTCACAACAATGGAAACATGGAGTTTTTTACTTCACCGGAGTTGGATTCCTTGTTCAAACTCCTCTCAAAAGCCAGTTAAATTTATCTAAAATTTAGGGTTTTTACATGTCCCTTTTTTCTCACTAGTTTTCTAGTTATGTAGGTTAGATTTAGATTAGAGTTTGTTTTAGAAGCATGTACAAATATAGTAGTATATGATTCTTGATTAGGTTAGCTTTTGAGTTAAATGAGATAGTCTTGTTTTTATGGGTTGTTTCAAGTTTGATGTGTCTTCTTTTTTCTTGGTTTTTCGAACCATAGTAGTTACTCCTAAACCCAAAACGGCAAATGGGTTATAGCCATAAGGGTACAAAGAGCCTTTTGTGGCCATGTTTGGTGCTTTATGCTTGTATGTGTGGCAATTTGCAATAGGGTTTCTCACCCAATGATATTGGTCTTTGTTAATCTTGAAACTAAAAAGTTTGTTATTTAATATATAAAGATTGTGTTATTTCGCTTGTTTGATCAACTTTTAAAACATTGGTATTGCATATTCGTACGTATTAGATTGAATCTTGAATGTTATTGGTTAAAAAGAATACGAGTGGAAAAAGGTTTATTGAGTAGGTATTCATGATTTGCATCAAGGGTTTACATAGGGTGTGTGTGACATGATGCCACTCCAATTTGGTGAAAATGGGAGTAATGAAAATAAAGAGAAAGTCAGTCAACACACGTGTTTTGTTGCATAGGAGTCAACACCAAATACACAAACGAAAATGGTCAAAATAGGCTATCATTCAAAGAAAATAAACTCTTTCATCATCATAATTATATGTAGTTAAAATTATATTCAAACAGAACATAAATATAACATTTATAAATATTTAAGTTCTATGGCTTTTTTCAACGTGTACAAATATGATTAGTTTTATCACAGAGAATAATTATCTACATAAAATGGAAATAGTGAGTAGGAGGGTTGTCAGAAAAAAATAAATTTTGCAGTAAAAGGAGGAAGACAGTATCAAAGATTAAGAGAATCCAATGTGGGCTTGTGTTTTGTGTTATGGCAGCCTTTCCTCTATCCATTCAATCATTACCATGCTCACCTTTTGTATTTTCTTACTCTCTTACGTGTGTTTATAATCAAAGGGGTTTTAAGCAAATTAAAATTTTATAGGGATCAATGCTAATAACCCAAAAGGTTGAAGCTTTTGTGATATTTATGGATTAGGTAAACCTAACACTCTTTTAACTATATGGTTACTACTTACTACTATTGTTAGAAATTTGGTTTTTTAGACTTTTAACGTACTAGAGAACATACTAGAGAGCACTCATCTTGGGTGAGCTTACTACTTAAATGCTTGGGCACAATAACTAGTACACTAGAGGTGCGTTCTAATCGTATTTATAAATATACATCTTTGTTTACCATGATTTTTTGAACATGTTCAATACCTTTGATAGCGCTAGTAATTGGTTAATTTGTTATTTTGAAAGATGAACTATCAAAAGGAATATCAAAACGTGTTTCTTTCGAAATGTATAATTTATGGTTGCAAATAAAACAAACATTGCCAATAGTATTATATATCCCGAATTCATGGGCACAATTCTTCCATTATGCAACACGATATATAAAAGGTTAATTGCATAAAAATTACTAAGTTTCACATTAACTTTTGGTTTAACCTTAATTTGTTTATAACAATTTTACAACATATGTGTCAAAAGTTTTTCAAATTTATACTTTTAGCTAGCTGTATTGTCTTATTTAGCAGCCGTCTTCTGCTAATGTGCAAGTTTAGATTATATCGTTGACCATGTTAGCGACTTAAAAACAGAGGTAAAGGTGGGCTTCAAAGGTAATAAGACATAAGACCCCTCGATTACGAAGGACATGTACCATTGAGCCAAATGCTACCTTCGTAATGAACTCATTATTAGCTGTATATAATGTCGATTTTTAATTTAAAATAAAGGGTTAAAAGATCAAAGGAGTGAAGACTTGAACCCACAATTTCAAACAAAGTATAAATTTATAACTAAACTAAATATGAATCTTTTGCTATAATTAGTCTCATTTTTTTATTAAACACACACACACACATATATATATATATATATATATATATATATATATATATATATATATATATATATATATATATAGATATATATATATAGGGTTGAAATCGGTTGAGAACTCAAAGTTTTCCGAGAACCCGAGAACTAAAAGTGGAGCGTTGGATCAAAAGTAATTCGTTAAGGACATGATCGTCATCTTACCAATCTCATTTAATGTTTAACTTTTTTGTGTTATTTAATATATTAATATAAATTTTTAAAAATTAACAAAATAACTAAAAATTTCGGATTTATTTTAAAAAAAAAATAATAATTTTTGATTTTTTTAAAAAATGGAGATTTTTTAATTTTTTTCGAAAAACATGAACTTTTTTAAAAAAAATAAAAAAATATTTTTTTAAAAACTGCATCTTTTTTTCAAAAAAAAAACTGCATTTTTTTTTTCAGAAAAACTGCATTTTTTTCAAAAAAAAAAAAAACTGCAATTTTTATAAAAAATGTGCATTTTTTTTCAAAACTGCATTTTTTTAACAAAAAAATCAACGTTTTAGGTGCATATATGCATATTTTTTCAAATGCATATATGCATATTTCTTATACTATAATATTCGTAAATAAATTATAAAAATCTCATTTTTATTAATCAATCTATAAACATAATACAAGTATTTTATTCGATACAAAATAAAATATAAAAAAACTACAAAGATTCACAATGTTATCATTTCTTCATATCAGCATTTCTATATTTTCTTCAATTTATCACTTTTCACCTCTTCAATATTTTCAACAAATTCTTCAAAACCTATAAGAAAATTTAAAAACAAAAATTGATTAATGCAAGAACACTCATAAAAATGCACTCGTATATATCATGTAAGATTCACATGTGATTATATCATGTAAGATTCAAATGTGATTATATAATGTGATATTCACATGTGATTGTATCTTTTAAGATTCAAATGTGAAATTCACAAGAAAATAAAAAAAAATTAACAAAGACCACTCACACAAAATGCATGTGTGCATATTGACGTAATTCATATGTGATTCACTAGTAATTTACATGTGAATCACATGTAATTCATATGTTATTCACTTGTGATTTACATGTGAATCACATGTAATTGATATGTGATTCACTTGTGATTTACATGTGAATTACATGTGATTAATATGTGAATTACATGTAATTTATATGTGAATCATATATGAATTACATGTGAATCACATATGAATTATGTAACACCCATAAAATTTGAGTCAAATTAAAACATTTTAAATCATTCAAAAACCATTACGTTCATACAACTCGTTTTCAAAATAGTTTAAACATCAGAGTATCCCCCAGAACCATATCATATAAATCATAAAACATGAGGAGCGGTACGATCACGCCTTCGCCTTGCCACGATCTTCTGAAGTACCTGAAACAATACACTGAAACTGTAAGCCCGAAAGCTTAGTGAGTTACCCCCAAAATACCAACCACACATATCATACTCATAACATATCATAAAAAGAACAACCATGCACATCGGGTCTACTATGTGACTGGTCCGCCCGCACCGGGCCTTCAGTCCACCTGGTCCACCCTCCGAGTCTAGCCATGTACGTCGAGTCTACAGTGTGATTGGTCCGCCCGCACCGGGCCTACAATCCACCTGGTCCACTCTCTGAGTCTACAGTATGACTGGTCCGCCCGCACCGGGCCTTCAGTCGGCCTGGTCCACTCCCCGAGCCTCGGCACGTCTGGTCCGCCCTCTTGGGGCCTTCAGCCTATCCGGACCGCTCGCTGGGCCTTCGGAATATCCGGTCCGCCCTGGGTATGTTGGCCTACAGCATAAAGCAGGACCCGCCTCAACCCAACCCCCGTCAAACAACCATGTGCACATACAACAATTAATCACATAACAATCCTCAACCAGACAAACAGTCTAACAGATCACATAGCATATCAACATCCTAACCAGGATTCCGACCTAACCGGTCACTAGCATAGCATTACCCTATATCCCGGGTACCGACCTTAACCAGGTCACTAACATAACACCATCCTAAATACCAGGATGCAGATCTAGCAAAACAATAACATAACAACAATACCCGGATTTCCATCCGATAAAGGGCCGACCTTGGTGCCGTAGACCCTGTCGATATAGTGAGGATAACTCACCTTGCAACTGCCGAAATCCTGCAAATCTCTGACCGCTGACTCACCGGGACTCCCAACTATCACATGATAATCACCAAGTTAGAATCCAACATGACTTTCTAGGCCAAGGGCCCACAACACTCATTAAGTCCATTATCATCTTATTGGGCCAAGACCCAAAACCAAATCCTCATGCAAAGCCCAATATTGGCCCAATTTACTAAATTGGGCGCACCTTTCCAAACAGGCCTAGATCCAAGGTCCATAATAATTATTGGGTCCAATTTACTCCATCCATACTATTCAGTCACGACCCAAGCCCAGCTAGCCCATAACAGCCCAATTACTCAAGGCCCAAAATTGAAAACCCAACAGAGGGCGTACGCTGGGCGTACTCCTCTGGTACGCGGGGCGTACGCACGTCTGCACCAAAAATCCTTCCATGTGCTTAATGGATTAAGCACTTAAGCCCATATGCCAGATCTAGTGACAAAAAGGGCCTAGGACTCATAAAGTCTCAATCTTTATCCTTTTGGACGTCCATAAAGCTCTTAACTCAAGGTCTTAACCCATTAAGACCTTCCTACTTCTTACATGGGACAACCAAAGCCATTGGGACCTCATTTTTCTTACTCAAGACCTCTCCAATGGTCTGAAAGGATAGCTCATCTTAACCAAAACACATCATGCATCATAATGGGGGTTTTTAGGACAAGAATGGTGTCAAAACTTCACCACACTTAGATCTACACAAAATAGATGTCAAGCAAGAAGCTTTATACCTTTAGGAGCTCTTGAACCACCAGAAAACTTCAGATCTACACGCTGGCCTTCTTCCTCTACTCACT